CTCTTGTGTCATAGACTGTAACATTGTTCGGCAGCAGATCACAAGACTCCAAAATCTTCGTTCCTTCCCTTCCAGTAGTTTGAGTTACGGCAGGACGTATGTCCATCTCCAAGCATTCGAAGATCGTGTTAATCAGGGCTGATTTTCCAGAACCAGTCATTCCAAAAAGTACGATATTCAAGCGGAAGCCTTCCATTTCCCCGCCGCGGGCATCATCGAATTTCTGGTACCTTCCGACTTTGTAATCCAACAGTCTTTCAACGAGCTGCTCCAATTCTTCGTCTTTCACCGTAGGAACAGTCGTTGCCATGACTGTTTTGTTATAAATTACATTATTTTTTCTTCAAAGGCATTATTTAGCTGCTAAAACGATGGATAGTGTGCTAGGGCGACGCTTTTCTTGTTGGCGACGCTTTTAACAAGAAAGGCGTCGCGATTCATTTATTTGAATCCAGTTGACGTCACGAAAGGTTTTTCTGAGAAATACTATTCCTATATTTTAAGATTTTCGGGCAGATGGTTCTCCAAAATGCTCTCAAAAGTGCTCGAATGATAGATAATTAGCTCGTTTAAACTTTGTTTTTCACCTTTTAGGAGAAATGTTTTGCAACACCTATTTATTTGGAGAAAAGGAAGTTTTGAACGATTTTCGTGACTTGCGTGACTTGCTCACAAACTGCCTCACGCATATGTTAACTGTCGAGTTTCGTCGAAACCACGACATCCACCTTTTCGGGGAACACACCAAAGATGACTTGAAAGATTTCCTGAGAACAACAAAATGAAGAAGCCAGAGGCTAATTCAAATGCTGGCCATGAAATGGAAACTCTACCGTTAAAAAGTGATCATTATATTGAAATTCGCTGAATCTTTTTACTTCCTAATTTTTCTGCTCAGAATGTTTTGAAACTCACCCGTTGCCTGAAGTAAAGCTCTCTAGATCTTTTCTATTGTCACCCGGACGATCAAACTCAACCTACTTTTGAAATGACTCCTGGGTTCAAACCTTTCACTATTTCAGTTAAGGTTGCTTCTGAGAAGAATGATGCATGATCCATGTTCCATAGCCCGTGGTGCCTTATTGTAGCAACTCTACTAAATTATGTGCCCGCAACGAGCCTAGAAACCTAATAAGCAAACGCTGCTAACGCTTCTATGCTATGTCAGCAGAACGTTAACACAATGTATTTCAAAACACTGAATCCTAGGCTTTTTAATTTAAGACAGTGATTTGAGGTTAGGTTTTTCTCTGGGGTAATATGCAAATGTCGCAAAGTTTCAACAAGTTTGCTTGACTCGTGTACGTGGGAATTTTGGATGGCGATTCAAGGCGTTTGTTGAACAACAATAAATAACTTAACATTACGTGTTTATCTATTTTCGAGGCAATTTTTTTAAAACTGAATTAAAAAAAAGAATAGCGTTGATTTGCTTTATTGAAATAACCAGCATGCAAAAGCATGGCCCATGCAAAAACGCAGCTTAATCAGGCGGTAAACCCCTATACATTTAATGTTATTAAAAAGAAGAGGCTTCTAATTTTTTACTATGAGATTTTTAAAATGAAATTTTTCAGCTCGCTCATGCTTAAGAATTTTAGCAGCCATTTGACTTGAAAGCTCTTGAACGCCTTTTCACAAATGGTGTCCATTATTTCAATGAACGTGAACAGGACTAAACTTGCCGCTACAAAAGGGTTTACCAGAGTGCACTGCAGGCTATGAAACATGGTTAACGGAAGCAACCTTAATTGAAATAGGTGTGTCCAATGCAGGCGTTATCTTCGTTGATGGAGAGATGAGATTCGTGTGCATGGACTGGGCAATTTTGTTTTCACATACCCACGGAAGCCTACAGGAGACCTGCGAGATGCGATATAATTTTTGATGGTTTTAAAAAATCCAGGCTAAGTTTGAGATAAAAATGCGACCTGCGAGATAAAAAATACGAGTTGCAAGATAAAAAATGCGAGATGCGAGATAAAAAAGAGCCATATGAAGAATAGAAAATGGGGGATGTGAGATAGAAAATGCGAGATGCGAGATGCGACATAAAAGTGCGAGATGCGAGGTAGAAAATGCGAGATGCCAGATAGAAAATGCAAGATGCGAGATAAAAAAATGCGAGATGCGAGATAATAATACGAGATGTGAGATGAAAAATGCAAAATGTGAGATAAAAATGTGACATGCGAAATAAAAAATTTGACAAGCGAGATGCAAGATAAAAATTTGAGATGCGAAATAGAAATTGCCAGATGTGAGATAGAAAATTGGAGGTACGAGATTAAAAAAGTGCGAGATGCTGAGTTAAATATGCGCCTTGTTGTAAACACGCGCTACCCTTTCGTGACCTCAACAGGGCCTGGCAGCTGACAAAGACGACGAGGGGGTGTCTAAGACAGTCGCTGTTTCCATGAAACAAATACCACAATCAAATGGCCGCATGTGAATATCAGGATTGTAGTTATTTTTCAGGATTTTTGTGTTTAATTCAGTACAAATGTGAGTGGCATCCGCCATATCAGTTTTACGAACGTCTTTTACGAATGTCTTTGTTTTTGAGTTTTTCGTCAGGTCTGTTTGTACCCATCCCCGCCCTCTCTCTTCAAAGTCCATTGATAATTCACAAGTGATAGTCTTACTAGGTAATAAGTCTCCTCCGTTTACAAGCCTCCTATACCTACTCCCCCCCCCACCCACCCCCCCCCCCACCCCACCCCCACCCCCCCCCTCTACCCCCCACAACCACCACACCCACCAATCCCCACCCCTCCACAACCTCACACATACAAACAAAAGACAATCAAAAATAAGACAAGTATAAGAAACAGAAAAAAAAAAATAAACAACAANAGATGCAAGATAAAAATTTGAGATGCGAAATAGAAATTGCCAGATGTGAGATAGAAAATTGGAGGTACGAGATTAAAAAAGTGCGAGATGCTGAGTTAAATATGCGCCTTGTTGTAAACACGCGCTACCCTTTCGTGACCTCAACAGGGCCTGGCAGCTGACAAAGACGACGAGGGGGTGTCTAAGACAGTCGCTGTTTCCATGAAACAAATACCACAATCAAATGGCCGCATGTGAATATCAGGATTGTAGTTATTTTTCAGGATTTTTGTGTTTAATTCAGTACAAATGTGAGTGGCATCCGCCATATCTGTTTTACGAACGTTTTTTACGAATGTCTTTGTTTTTGAGTTTTTCTTCAGGTCTGTTTTTCCCCACCCCCCCCCCCCCCCTTCAAAGTCCATTGATAATTCACAAGTGAATGTCTTACAAGGTAAAAAGTCCCCCCCCTTTACAAGCCCCCTATACCCCCCCCCCCCCCCCCCCGCCCCCCTCCCCAACAAACCAACAAACCCCATGTAAATCACACCATAAACTTCGACGCATAAGTCTTGGGCTTCTACAACTTTGTAAGAGGTATTAAGAGGGATTATATAGGAATGGAGGACTTACAAGCGGACTAAAAAAAGCGTTTTAAAAGCCCTACATTGCATTGCTCATCAAAATATTTTTTGAATTTACTCGCTTTTTATCAAACCTTCAAAACGTTGTAAAAATCGAATTCATTTTTTTGCAAGCTTAAAGGGGCGTATATCTGGGAGTATTACAACCGGATGTATTGTTACAAGTAGATGGCCCTATAACTGGGAGAGCTTATGAGCGAAAGTTTACGGTATTCTCTGTTAATAGAACAGTGAGCTTAACGTAATTTTTGTTTCGTTTATGCCCATGTTACAATTAAAAGTTCTGTAGGTGATCCTTGTTGGACAGCCTCTGCTCGAAAGGAGGCGGACGTACATCGGCTTGTGAACGATGGTTTTGAAGGGGTGTAGTGTAACAACTATTTATTGCGAGGTTTCCAGTGGTCTTATCTTCTCCCTTTTAAATTCTTATCTTGCTTTCTGTGTCTGGCATCTAACATTTTCTATCTCGCATCCCCTATTTTTCATCTCACATATCGCATTTTCTATCTCACATCTAACATTTTTTATCTCACACCTCGCATTTTCTATTTCACATCTCGCATTTTTTATCTCACACCGTCACCTTGCATTTTCTATTTCACATCTCACACTTCTCATCTCACATCTCGTTTTTTTATCTTGCATCTCGCATTTCCTATCTCGCATGTCCCATTTTTCTCTCGAACTTAGCCTGGATTTAAAAAAATCATCTAGAATTATCTCGTATCTCGTATGTCCCTTACAGGCTTCCGTACATACCTCAGACATTTCTCGAAGGGCAAAGTAATGTGACAGGATGGGAAAAACAAAGTTCAGTTTCGTTTCGACGACTTTACACAGCTTCTCGTACTACATCAAGCTTGTACGTTTTATCACAGTTAAAAAAGATAAAAATTCCGATTTCTTTCTTCCTTAAGTCACAAAAAGTACAGTCCAATATCAAGCTATTTCTGAAGGCGAGTACCTTGATAACGCTGACCAACTAATCGTATCTTAATTCCTCCAGAAAAAAAGAAAACTCAAAAAAAGCAGAACTAAGACGCCGACTATTCCAGCTAACCGAGAGCAGTCTTTTATGTCCTCTGGCTGAGATGGAATAACCGATACCAGAAGCATCTAAGACAGTTTACGCTTACAACAGGAACGCTTATTAAGAAGGACATTGATCAATTTCATCGCTGAAATCTTCACGAACTACTTCGCTCATCGACGTTATGCTTCGCGACAAAACAACGTTGCAAAGGCTCTCGGACGTTTACTGTTGCTCACTTGGGAAATCATGGACCAGACCATGCCGACCATAATCGAGGCTAAAGCTGAAGCAAAATATTAGGTGCACGTGATCCACGGGCATCAACAAGAATTTTGCGGGAAATTTTCTCCTAGCAAACAGATGTAGTGTTGTTTTCAATGACAATCATTAGAGATATTCAGAACAACTGAAAACAACTAAATGCTGTCTATAATTGCTAGTTCCTTTCCCGTGCTCATAATCGAAAAAGGGAAAAACTGGTTGAATGGCAGGTTTATTCGAAGTCGTTGTACTTAAATCTCAATTTTCTGACCCAAAATGAAACCTACTTAACTAATTTTCTGATTCTCGAGCAAACTCTCACCTCTGGAAAGTTGTTTTACAGAGTTATTAAGCTCGAAACGACTGACACCGAGTTTCACCTGTTCGAACTCCACTTGGGATTCAAATATGCCGCATAGCAGCGGTTTCTAAAGCACATTTACAGCTGCATTTACCGGAATTTTAAGGAATATGGCATCCCAGGGATTGGAATGTGGCTCAATTTGTGAGTGAGTGCCAGTAACGAATTAGGTAAGCCGTCCTTTTGACAAAATCTGTTTGAGATAGATCCGTAACACTAGAGCTGAAAATATCGCAGAAGCTGGCATATACCTTGATACAAACTGTCATAACTTTTAAAATACTGAAATCGTACGGCTATCTTTAAAACAAGGAACGGGGAATGGGAGAATAGGAATGGGGAACAGGGAACGGGGAATCTTTAAAGTGGGGAATCTTTAAAAGCGGGAATCTTTAAAATCGGGAATCTTTAAAACGGGGAATCTTTAAAATGGGAAATCTTTAAAAGCGGGAATCTTCAAAACGGGGAATCTTTAAAAGCGGGAATCATGGGAAATCTTTAAAAGCGGGAAACTTTAAAACGGGGAATCTTTCAAAGCGGGAATCTTTAAAACGGGGAATCCTTAAAAGCGGGAATCTTTAAAATGGGGAATCTTTAAAAGCGGGAATCTTTCAAACGGGGAATCTTTAAAACGGGGAATCTTTAAAACGGGGAATCTTTAAAAGCGGGAATCTTTCAAACGGGGAATCTTTAAAACGGGTTCGTTGGCAAGTGGAAAAGGAGGCATGCATGGATAAGGGGATACAATAACATATTCTTTTGGTAACGATTCATAGGGTTTGTATGAAAGACGTAAAACTTTCGTTTTATTTATGATTGTATTCTTTGGTGATTCAAATGAAAACAGATTCCTTGGTTGCAGAGTCGACTTTTCGAACCGCGAGGGAAATTTGCTTCAACCAATCAGAAACACTACCTACTTGACTATGCAAAGTTTATCCAAAGACTGATTTTTGTTGACAACTTTCTAATTAGTTGTACATGTAGGAGGTGACCCTCAGTCTGCATTTCTAGAACTACTTTCTAGAAAATTAGTAGGAGAAGACCTGGTAGGCGGTACTACATTACCCTGTTCATTCTCGTTCCTATGGCTGCGACCCTTCTCTCTACCCAGTAAGTTCTGACTTCAGCTGAGAGTTTTTATCATTTTATTGTTACCTTTACATTACTTCAGTTCTTGACATCATTAGATCATCCTTTTACTTGATGCTTTTTGTGAGAAAATTTGGAGCGATTTAACCTGCTGATTGTCTTAAAGTTAACGGCCACTACATTTTTCTGAGCACCGACCAAAACAGCCGAAAAAAGGCGCCCAAAACACGAGACTATACATCTCCAAATCAAGAAATATATGTAGAAGCCCCTGTGGTCGAGAGGTTTTGGCTTGTACTAGGAATAAGTAACTAACCCATCCACAGTTTGGTAAAACGTCACTATACAGACAGAATCAGACTTCAGGTCCTCCATCACATCTGACTTCTGTTTCTCTGAAGGTCGTCATCCTGGCTTTCTCTGCAGGACATCCCCATCTTCATAAGAAATCTTTTCATAACTCACTTTTGCCTTCAGTAGATAATTGTCTCCTTGGCAAGTGGCCGCTGTTGCACCAGAACGTAAAGCTGCAATGTCAAAGGTTCACTCGCGTTACAATTTGTTTTCAGTTGGTCGTAACCACTTTTCACTTTTAGACGAAGCATTTGAATATAGTGGTCAGGGTACGCTAACCTGAGGTTACGCGGCGGTATTGCCAGTACCTTTGAGCACAAACATATCGACCGAGCAGTGGTAGTCATTGACAACTACTTCGCCCTTGTTAGGATCGAGTCATAGGTATGGCATAGCCGTCCGACCCCTGTACCTCTGTAACGTGCGGTTATATAGTGTATACATCGCATTCAATGCATCAGTTTTCATTTTCATTCACCGAGTAATTTTTCACCGAAAAATCTAAAGCAAGTCATGGAGAGGAAGTAAATAAGGCGGATACAAAAGACCATAATCGGGAACGAGGGAGAGGAGCAAGCTTGGCGAAGTGGTGAGGACTCGCCTCCCACTAAAGAGACTCGGGTTCATTTACCGGTGTCGACAACATATGTGCATGCATGGGTTGAGGTTGCTGTTGGTTCTTGCTCCTCTCGGAGCAAGGGAGGAGCAGGGTACTCCCGTTTTCCCCACTCTTCAAAAAACAACATTTTCAAATTCCAATTCGACCAGGAATGGCAGACGAAGCCAAACCCCCATGTGGATGTGCTACCTTATTTTTGTTGTTTAAGAGGAACTTTCAAGTACCAACGCCATTACGTTTTCACAGACTTTACGCTGGTGCCGGTGACAACGACGTTGGATTCTAAAAATTGGATACAGCGCTACTCCTTGGTTGGATACAGATATGTTTGAAAGAGAAACTGTATTTTTTACCTCCATAAGTTCCTTCTTCCATCAAGCCCGTTTTTGTCTTATTCCGATCGCTGAAGGGTCTTCTGCAGGCACCAGTATCCTCTTCATTGTCCTCCGGGATAAGGAATGCCTTGTCACTTCCTACCAAAGACGACTATGCGAGGAGTCAAAAAATCAGTTTTCATTAGGTATAGTTTTATGAATAATATAACTCAAGACTCTTTTCAAACACCTTTCGTCGACTGATCCTTCCGGTAAGATCGATATTCTGAAAAAGGATCAGTTGTGTCACCTATACACGAAATAAAAACCATTGTTCATAGTTAAACATGACTTCACGTCCGCCTTATTAGTGTTCTAAAACAATGAAACGGCGGCCATTTATACCTGCTGGCCATGTGAGTGAAAAGGCTCTATATAGCTGAAAAATGTTTCCTCAACATTGCGAGTTTTCATTGGTTACTTCAAGGTAAAATGACACCTAAAAACAGAACTGTTTCCCACCAATAAGAGGACTCAAGAAACGTTACTTATGATCTCTGCATGACAAGTTTATGACAACCTTTACTATTCATTCAAAATAGCTACCGTTGTCCTAATTTTGAAGAGGTTTGCAGATAACCACAAATATGCAGTGAGGTAGTCACATTGCATCTCTGTTGTCAGTTGATGTTGGGTATTTAATGCTGCCTCGTTCCTAGGCGTGTCAACTGTGGAAAACGGAAAACGCCACTGAACTAGCCACCAAGGATTATCGCGTATGGGACCATGGTAACCTTTAGCCTGGTAGCAAAGGACGCAGGGAAGGATGAAGGAAAAACATGAGACGCCTCGCAGATTTGGTTCGATTTCTGGATTTGGGCTGTGACCGTTCCTCTTGCGCTATTTTGAGGAGAAATAATGTCGAGGTCTATGTTACGAGAATTTTTATACGGTTTTTTCGTTGTTTTCGAGTACCCTCGCTTTTTGAGTACCTTCGACCTCGACTCGTGTAAATATGACGAGCATAGAGGAATCCTTACATGAACTTTCTTTACAGGGTAAGTGTTTCTTATTGTATAGAAAGATGTACTTCATGCTTTGAAATGTTGTTCGTATTAGGCATTTCGATGTCGTTACATAGGTGAGCCCCGTACACATCAAGCATTTAACATTTGGAATCATTAATATTTTTAACCTTAGTACTTTAAAAAAAAACCTTCAATAATTTTAGATGCTTCAGCGACGGTAAGCACGCCTGAATCAAACGGGAGAGGAAAGCACCCCGGAATCTCGATGGGTGCACCGGGGATTTTGTCCTTCAGGACGAGATGGTGAACTTTCCCTTCGCTGAAAAACACTCTAAATGGTTCTTTTTCTTTCCCTCCAGTTTTGCATAAATTACTTTCCGTCATTTTGAAATCGTATTCTGTTTCTCTTCGCCTTTCCCAAGATACTTAGGGCGGAACCAAATTCCCACTCGCTCTCGAATCCGCTAGAACGCGCCTGGGTACGAGGCAGTATATAATGGCTGTTTTTTTCTAGAGTCAGTTTTTTTTTCCTAAGCTAATTCGAACGAAGTAAAGAAAAACAAGAAAAAAATGTTGGCGCGACTGTCGCCTTTATGTATTTATTTCGGGTCAGTTCTTCAGTGTGCCCCGAACAACTGCTGGTAATCCAGCCAAGGAAAATGCAATCCAAGAGTTTCTCCCACCAAGTTGAAATATTGCAACAATCCCAGAATTATTTGTTATATGGCTAAACCAACTGCCTCAGCTTTTAATTCCCCCTGGGCCTTCTGGACCTGGCGATTGAGGAGCCTTTTTCCTTCTTTCCATTTTAAATCGAGCTGAAAGTGCTTGAAAGACATGAAAACGAGTAGTTCGAGTAGTGGGCGGCCACCCACAAAGAGGTGAATAAGGAAAGAGAGTGGTCATGACTAATATACATCTATTTCGAGAAAGGTTGTCGGAAAAGTGCAAGCGACAATCCCGAAAAGTAGTATTGTGGCTGGTTTTGAGTTCACTCTTCTCTAAAGAAATTTGAAAGAATGGCACGAGAGGCCATGGAGATATGTTGGCTTTTGCTTAAGGAGAGTAACAAAAGTAGTTTTGACAGCTACAGTATCAGGAACAGTGTATTGATCATATCCCATATAACTTTTTGGGATTGTCGCGTGATATTTTTTTCCGGTAACCTTTTATCGAAATAGTTGTATACTCCTTTCTCACCCACCACAGCAATGAATAAAGAACCTTTCGCTCACAGAGACGAGTGGATGGTGGAGTCGTGTTAGGTGGTGAGACTGTGGAGTCAATCCTAATTTTGCCTGTTTTGGGGTTGAAAGGATTAATCCGAGAATTATTGGTAAGAGGGAGGGTATAGCTTACCTCTCTGCTCAGCTCTGTGTCTGCACTGCCTGGCCGAGGCTCCACAGGCGGTATGGTTCGTTATAAACTAGTGAAAGGATAATGATGAAGTTATGAATATATGAAAATCATATTTGTAAACTGCGGAGTGAAGAACTATATGAGGGAAGATCATTGCGGTTACAGACGGAACTGCAAAATTTGTGTCTATAACTGCGATGACCTAGCTACTTTCATGTAGTGAGGGTGTGAATGGGGTTAACCGACTAACGACAAAGGGCGAAAAACATTACTGACTACCGACAAAACGAGCAAAAAATTACCGACTGCCGACATAGGCTGACATTATCAATATTTGTTTACAGAAAAAAAGAGCATTTTACTATTTTTTTTTCTAGCCGTTAGGAAGTAACCTCTTTAAATTTATGACTCAATCATCAGATGGTCTAACGGAAAGAATTTCCTCTTTTGTTGATACAGTAATAATGCTACAACCAATATTAAAATCACAGAAGTCACACCTCAAAGACGCTACCGACTTTATCAATTTTGTTGAAAGACAAAAGTGAAAAAACCGAACTTTCCTTGTTTCGCTCCGAGAAATGCTGAGATTAATCGTCAAAGAGAATTCTTTGCAGTTTAATGGCAGCACTATCAGTACAAACCCACGGTTAACCGCGATTAGCACAAAGACAGCAGTTTCCTTTCCAACATTTTCATGGCATATCATGAAACTCAAAGTTTATAAGCAAAACCTAATATCTTTGGGGTATAGGTGGTTTTCATGCAATCTCGGGAGACACAAATGACAATGGTGAAATGAACAAATGCTGGTGGACAAACAAAGCGAGCAAATGAAAGATCTTTTGTTTACCGTCCACCAGCATGGCGGCGATGACGTAACATGAAAACCGCCTATCGAAAGTGATGTAACACTTCCGCCTTTCTGACAAACGCTTTCGGTTTCAGTGGTCACCTGTCATGGCCGAGGCTTTCCAAGAAATGCATCCGCTCTTGTCACCTAATTATCTTATGAAAAACATTGGACACTATTGCGAAATCTCTTCAAGATATGCTTCCGGTTTTCCAATGTCGCAACAGACCATCATTTCTTAATGTGGCACTCCGTCACGTGACCTCGAAGTTAGATATCGAAAGTGTCGTAGCAGTTCCGCCGTGCCTCATGCATACGTGGCTCTATAAAACGTATAAATGAGTTTCTCTTTTCATATCACCATTATCTGTGCGTTAATTTTTGGAAGAATCTTTAATGACGGGTATTAAATGGGGTCTGCGTTGAATTTATGAAATATATACAATGCCACCGTTCTGAAGTTTAGCCGCAGAAAGAATGGAGGCCAATGCGTGCTACATTAAAACCCACCTGTTTTTTGAAGCAGAGCACGGTAAAGCCTCGCGTAACCAATCCCAGCGTTGTCTTCGTTGATGGAAAGACGAGATTCGTCTGCATGAACAACAAAGATAGCATAATCCATTACCAGGTGAGGTAATGTCCTGTCGCACACCTTAGCCATTCGTTCCAGACAAAAACAAAGACGATCAACCGGGATTTTGAAGCCGTATTTGTCGCCTGCCTCAAGCATAAGCTTTTCAACTGTCTCTAAACTATAAGTGTTGTCACAGTTAAAAAGGTAAAACCTTTTCTGCTGATACGACATGTCGGATCGCCTGATAGCTACAAAGCTGACTGTGGTCATTTATTTAGGCATTTTCTGGAAATGTTAAGGCGCCATCCGCGAATGCGCGCGCACTCATTACAAATGGGGAGCTTAAGATACGGCGACTACGGACTACGACTACGGTTAAACATGCTACTGCGCATGATCAAAACCATGTGACTGTTCCTTTTTCCCGCGTAGTCCTGCGGCTACGGTGAGTTGTTGAGCTGTTTCGCGTAGTCGGGACTACGGAGCACATTTTGCTCGTATTTTGCCGTCTCGGTAATTCAAGAATTTCGTATTTTCGTAAAAAAGTTTTCAATTCACCTGCTTTAAGTGAGAGAGAAGCGAAATATGTAAGTTGTGTCTAATTTCTGCTCAGATTTACGCTTTTAATCCACAGTTGTGGCTAAATTTTTATCTAGCTAAGCTCATATTTAAATAAGCTTAGCTGTTTATACGCAGAATTCAGATTGAAGGCCTAGGAGAAGAGAAATCATGTAGGTAATTTACTTTCTGTTCGCACTTGAAAAGTTTCAATGTTTGTTCGAACTGTTTAGTGTGTCTTTCCACTTGTGTAACCCTTGTTTATGGGAGTTTTTGTATCGCGCCATTTGCTGAATGAAAATAATGTAAACATCTTCGAGACAATCGAAACTCGGCATTTCAATACTTCAAACTACATCAGATCAGTAGTCGGAGAAGTCCATCTTCTAAATCTAATAAATGAGCTATTACTATTTCTGTCTATTTCTTTAATATTTGCTATAAGTATTCATGGGCGAAAAAATAAAACCTGTGTCACCAAAACTTTGTTCACCAATTTCACCCAACGTAATTGCTTCCTTCAAGTATGGAAGAATTTGTTCATTGTTCTAAAGATAAGTTCACATGCAAAACTGACTTGCATCTTTGTGAACTGTGATCAAAACAAGAAAATCTTTGCGTGTTGTTTCCCTCTCCACCTCTTCTCTCGTAGTCTACTGTCTGTAGTGCAATCTTAACGTTCTATATTTGCACGACTCAACCCAGTATTACAAACAAAGGACAACGCTCGTCCAGCCGTAGTTCGTAGTCCGTAGTCTCCGTATCTTAAACGCCCTAATATTTTCTCTGCCACCACAACGAAGGTGACAGTGAAAACGTCACCAAAACATGAAGTCAAAGTACGTTCTTTCAGACTTATCCTGGCGTGATAATTCCGATCCGCGTTTCTCAATAAACCGAAAGCTGAAGAATCTTTTTCAAATTCAATAGTTAGGAAAGCAATTATTTACCCCTGGCAATCTTTCGTACACCTTTACAGTATGGCTCTTATGAGGTTACACAGAAAAATTTTTGAAAAGTGTTTCTCTAAAGCAAAGCCTTAGTTCAGAACAAGATTCTGTTGCCGGGCCCAGCGTGGATTCGATTCATCTGTTTCGATGTATCTCCAACATAATTCTTTTTTCCCAGAACAACACTGAACCGGAAGTGGACGCGTATTGGTCATCTGACAGGTTACTATGNAAACATCTTCGAGACAATCGAAACTCGGCATTTCAATACTTCAAACTACATCAGATCAGTAGTCGGAGAAGTCCATCTTCTAAATCTAATAAATGAGCTATTACTATTTCTGTCTATTTCTTTAATATTTGCTATAAGTATTCATGGGCGAAAAAATAAAACCTGTGTCACCAAAACTTTGTTCACCAATTTCACCCAACGTAATTGCTTCCTTCAAGTATGGAAGAATTTGTTCATTGTTCTAAAGATAAGTTCACATGCAAAACTGACTTGCATCTTTGTGAACTGTGATCAAAACAAGAAAATCTTTGCGTGTTGTTTCCCTCTCCACCTCTTCTCTCGTAGTCTACTGTCTGTAGTGCAATCTTAACGTTCTATATTTGCACGACTCAACCCAGTATTACAAACAAAGGACAACGCTCGTCCAGCCGTAGTTCGTAGTCCGTAGTCTCCGTATCTTAAACGCCCTAATATTTTCTCTGCCACCACAACGAAGGTGACAGTGAAAACGTCACCAAAACATGAAGTCAAAGTACGTTCTTTCAGACTTATCCTGGCGTGATAATTCCGATCCGCGTTTCTCAATAAACCGAAAGCTGAAGAATCTTTTTCAAATTCAATAGTTAGGAAAGCAATTATTTACCCCTGGCAATCTTTCGTACACCTTTACAGTATGGCTCTTATGAGGTTACACAGAAAAATTTTTGAAAAGTGTTTCTCTAAAGCAAAGCCTTAGTTCAGAACAAGATTCTGTTGCCGGGCCCAGCGTGGATTCGATTCATCTGTTTCGATGTATCTCCAACATAATTCTTTTTTCCCAGAACAACACTGAACCGGAAGTGGACGCGTATTGGTCATCTGACAGGTTACTATGGCAACCCTGGTGTGAGGCGTTTTCACTCGGTAATGAATAACCTCGTCACTTTCTTCAATTGACTCAACAAGACCTAATACTTGGTTTGCTCAGTAGACCAAATGTTTTGGAAATCTTGGGTTTTTTAAATGATTGACAGTACACTGGTACAACCAACACAATAAAACGCAAGCATAGCTAATAATATTTTTAGCCATTATGAAGCAGAAAAAATTTAAAATCACTCATGCACTTCTACATAATTGAATTACATTGTAAAACTTTTCTTTTTTGTATTTTTTTTAAATGACGGCTTAAACAGGAAATTCTGTTCTTCATCCGACATTCGACATAGTTAGTTTAACCTACACTATTTGAAGTTGGTTTATTGTTACAGTGTAAACAAATTTGCAGACGAGACTGAACTGCAGCCCTAGCTACACTCGCAATCACACCTCTCCTTACTACCGTTACGCTAATCGTGCCCGAAAACAAAAGTTCCTTTGCAAAACATTTATAACGGTAAATCTTCGGGCCATGCAGCATATCCTGAGCCACCTCAAGAGGCGAGCCATCAAAGCCAACCAAACGCACTTAAGGACTGATAACACTTGTAGGGTCGAAATTCGCTGTAAATTCTCACCGTGGAATGGTAGGAGAGGCACCCTTAAAACGCTTGGAGGGGGGCTAAAAGAAAAGGAAAAGGGGCAAATAAAAATGGAGGAGGTGTCTCCGGGGATGACAGTTTTGAACCACAAATAACTGAGAGGGAAATTGACTCCCTTTCAAAACTGCCACCCAAGAGCGGGTATTAGGGAAAAACGACACACAAAACTAGTAGCACGTGGCTCACAAAGCCTCAACCGCGAAGAGCGCAGAACACGGGAAAAAAGGAAAAAACACCAAGAAGGCAAGGCAATACGTTAAGAACGATGTCGGAACCAAGAGAGCGGAACTAAAGATTAGTGGAAATCACGCACAAAAGCGTAACAGAAACGACAAAGAAACAGAAAAGATATAAAGAACAATACAGAAGAAGATACCGCGTACAAGACTATGGAAACGAAAGATAGCAATGCTAATGGCGTCGGAATCAGTAACATGTGACAAGTAAATGGTGTTATAATCGCGACACAAAAGAAGGAAACAACAACTAAAAGCATAGCAAACAAATAAACGCAATTGCCGGAGAAGCAGAAATGAAAGATATGCGTTAAACAGAATAACAAACAATCAAGGGAACTTAAGGTGACTCGACCCAGTTTTTTTTGGGGGGGGTACCATCCTACTTTGAAGCTCTCTGGTATCCCCACTTTTTCTTTTATCGTAAGTCTAACACATAGAATGGATAACATATAGATCAATCTACAACATAACATAAAATTTTTGGCGATCAGAGCAAATGTCACGTGGTTATAATGCCACGCCCCTTTGAGGTCTGAGTCGAAAATCTGCTGTTGTCGGCATTTTTTCGTGAAAATCTCTCGGCTACACATAGTGAGCATTCGGAAGTCAGCCAAGCGTGGTCATTGCACGCGTGCTGAACAAGAATGCTGTATAATGACAGACTAGAAACAACAGACAACTCCCAAAGCACAAATTCAGCTAAAACGCTGAAAATCTTCAATGTTTACTCAAGTTTGGGCTTATAGAAGATAATGTCAGTAGTAGATAAGGCACCGAATTAACCTTTTCTTTGCGGATTTAATTAACTTTTTGTGCGCTATAAATTAACGTTGATGACGTCATGCATCTCATTAAGACAGGATGATGTCATAGTTTAAATTAACGCCGATGACGTCACGCATGCCATTAAGATAGGATGATGTCATACTTTATTTTTAGCTGGCAAGGAGCAAGTGACGTCAGAATACCTATTTTTACATGGATTATGTCATAGCTCATTTTCAGTAGGCAAGGAGCAAGTGAAATCAGAATTTCCTAGAGTTGACGTCATCAAAAAATGTTGAGATCATGATCTATAAACAGAACAGTGATTTTTATATAATTAGCTATTTGCTACAGTCTTCTGATTAGATATTGTTTGCTATAGTCTTCTGATTGGATATTGTAGAAACTGTTATGTGTTCAAAATAAAAGCGGGCAAATTTTGAACGTGTTATTCTTTGCAGATTATACTAAATGAAAAATCTTTAATCATTAAATTATTTTCACTAAAAATCAGTTATAAACAAAACCAAGACACAGAGGTTAACTGAAAAATCTTTACTTCAAAAGAAGGGAATAGGAGGTTAAGCGAATGCGAAATCGTACAAATTTTTCGGGCAAAACATGAAAACGAGGTCGAAGCGAAGCGAAGCGAAAAACTGCCTATCTAGCAAAAATGTCATTTTCTGTTTACTTGACTCTGTAGAAAGTATTGCACAGGGTATGAAAATTCTATAGAAAACAACAGGTGGTTCTAAAGTAAACCCTAACTCTTTTGGTTCTTAAATCAACCCCATTCTTGTTCCTAATGAGTGGAAAGTCTGTTTATAAAAATAGGAATAAGAGGTGCGATCCCCTAGCAACACATGTCTTCTTATTTAGCGCTAAAAATCGGATATATAACAAAACACACACACACATACAAAAAGTGGAGCTGAAAACTCTCTATTTCAATTTTGACTCACCATTA